AGCGCTAGCCAAATTGTATTAAACATTTATATATACACACTTGAGTACTCAATTCTTCAATTCAACCCAATCATTTTTACTTTTTGTTTGATCTTTGTTGAAGATTAGTTGTACTATAGTCGGTAAATGATCTGTAATATTACTTTTAAGTACTATTGGTATATTATTATTTATTATAATTTATTTAGATTTCAATAAAATATGATTTTTTTGTGTGAAAAAACATTCCATAAGGGCGTTAATTGATATTACAATCTGATCAAGAGTTGATCAATGAGTAATTTTGTTATAACCTAACTTAACTAGGGTTGCAATATGATAAATACAGTTTTTTAATCGGGATGGTTCATTGGTTGTAGATAAGAAGCCAAATTTAATTAGGATATTCAGATAGAGGCCGTTTCCCCATTGGTTCATTTGTGTAGTAAACATTTCAAAAAAACACATTATCTTAAAATAAATAACAAAAATATAAATTCAATTTTAATAATTCTATTGTTTTCATACGTGTTTATCTCTATGTTTGGGTACGCTACTGCGCTCTGGCCAATTGCCTCTCCGTGGCTCACTTTTATAAGTGAGCCTGTGGGAACAAGAAGTTTTCGCGAAACTCTTTGGCTAAAAAGAGAGGTCCACACGTCAACAGATCCGTGAAACGTAGGAAACAAACAATATGCCTGCATAAAATCACATAAATCATCTTAATATGTGCAACACACACAGTGACGTCACAAAGTAGGGCTGGGCATATGAACTTTCCAATTAATATAAAATAAAGAGTAGATGCTATGACGATACTTAAAGTGTCCGCACACTTTTACGTTACATGTCAAACTCAAGCAAGTGGAGCTAGTAAGTTTTGGTAAGAACAAATACCATTTTTTTGTCTGCGCGATAAGTCAAAAACGAAAAGTGATACCAACTTGAAAATTTTAAACAACGAACCAGCTCTATAAGGGGACAAAGTCTATGATTTTGAAAAAAATTTGATTAAAAAAAGAGGTTAAAATTAAAAAAAAAATCATAAATCAAAAATGATAAGCGATATAAATATGAAATTTTTAGTAAAAATCAAGCTCTATCAGGAGATGAGGCCTATTGATTGTGAAAAAAAAATTAATAAAAGTGGGGGTTAAAGAGGTTAAAATATTTAAAAAATTCTGAGCGGATTTTTGCTATTTTCGCTCTTTGCTTGGGCAGGGCAAAACAATTTTCTTCTAGGTTTGTTGAAAGGATCATTATTTCTTTAACATTTCTTTTAGAGGTTGTTGCTGGGTCCTTTTGGGATTCAACTTGCATCACGGGATCGTTAATTGCAGGAGGATTTTGATTGGTCGCTGCGAAGTTAATATTTGTTGTTTGTGAGCTAGATATAGATGTTTACGGAGTTTGGGATAGCGAAAGCGTGGTGGTTTGAGCTGATTGGGAGCTTTGATCTAGATTTGAAAGATCTGGAGTTTGCTGGGAGACGGTGGTAGTAGCTGGTTATTGTGGCTAGGACATTGGGATGCTAAGTGGCCTTGTTATTTACAGAGATAACAGCATCGCTTCTCTAATGAACAGAAAATCAGATTTGTTTGAACATGTTTAATTGTCAAGGAATCAGTAATTTTGTTTATATATGAAGAAGCTATGTAAGAATAACGATTAAAACTCAAATTATGTTTAAATTTTGTGTTTTTTGTTCCAAATCGATTGAACTTGCTAGTTGGATGCCTATGTTATTTATTTCTAGAATGTCGTTTGTTATTGAAGAATGTGGGGTTATTAGTTTTCTAGCTTGGATACGCTCTTGGTTTATAATAATTGATTCATCATCAGTTCCTAAGAATTCGTCGACTGCCTCTTCTAAAGTAAAACAAATTCAGATGCGTTCGTTGGCTATACGAGAAACTGAGTGTATCTTATTAGGATTGATTTTGTCAGCTACGACATTGAGGTAATCTTCAACTTTAGTGTTTAAAAGTGATTTGAATAAAATAGCTTGCTTTTTGTTGAGGTATTTTGTAGAAGATTGGTTTAGTGCATGCTTATTTGATTCAGTTTTCTGTTGAAAACTGTTTTGGAGACTTCCGTTACTAGAAGCCCCTGAGTTTGATGCTTCGTTCATTGTAGATGAAATGACTTTAATACGGTCCTGGCGAGAAATTTATATCTGCTCAGACACATTAAGCGATATCGATAGATGGTTTGATTTTTTGAGTAATTAAATTGTTTTTACCTGCTGCTGATAACAACTCACTTAAATACAAGCGATGTGTACTCGACGAATTATACTTTCGTCATAAAACAAAAAAAAATTAAAGATTGAAGACGTCATTATTTAAGAAAAATTATAGGCGTCTGAAGACAAAATAAAAAAATATTTAATTTAGACGAAACGTGGGTCACCGCAGAACCAACACTGTCCAATAATTGTCAAGATACTACTATACAAAGTAAGGAACAGGTGTTTATGTAGTGCTTTTCTTGTGTCTAAAAAATCCACAAGGAAAAGGGAAAACGTTTAACCATAACCCACAACAGAAGCTCAGAAGGAAACAAATAGCTTACGATGATATGGATGGCTCAGTTTTTGAAACTTGTTTTATTGCGAAAATAGTCAAAACGGGTTCAGGCTTTAGGGTACCCCAAAACGATTCCTATACTTTTCTTATCTGTATACGGATAGGAAATTAAAAATACAAACACATATGAATCACAATAAAACATTAGTTGAAAATGATGAAGAAACTGAAGGTTTATACAGAAAGTTTTGTCTATTTAAATTGCAGATATAAACTGAGTTGGGATGTTGAAAGTTGGAATCTAAATACTCAAATTAGCGACTAGGACTCGAGATACACAAGGTCTAAAGGTTTAGGAGTTAGGACGTTGGATCAGCAGATTCTTTTACAATTTTTTAAAATTTTCTTTGATTTATCGCCCTCCCGACTTCTCCAATGAACTATTAGATTTTTTAAAATACTAATGTACGCACCTAAAAAGAATATTTTCTGTCAACTTTTTTTTTATTCGGTGACGTCACTCCGTCCTTAGCAACGGGGCTGAGGCCACCGTAGTGTCTACGAACCGCGGATGAAGTTTGACACAGAAGCTGAATTCGAATTGAAAATGCATTAAGTATTTGTTTCGTAAATTTGAAGTGTATTACCTCCAACTAATCCAACGAATTGTTGCATTGGATTAATAATCTCAAGCCGCCTCCTACGGGCTTAATCTCGTATGTTTATATTGGGGATTTGGAGGATTTTACTAATTTTTTTCCGAATCGAACCGTCGAAATAAAAGTAGTAAATATTATGTTTAAATTAGAAAATGTTCAACAGTTGCTTTTATCAGCAGTGATGACAGTGATACGGCTAACTAAATTAGTGTACCGTTCACGTCCCTTGCGTTTCGATATTTTTTACAGTTAGTAAATTTTCATTAGAACAAAAATATATTCAGTTTTTTATTACTTTTAACTTTCGTCTAAATTTCTCAAATTAAAATCTACTTTAATACTTTTTATTTTATATTTATTGTATTTGTATTTTGAGCAATACAAGTATACCAAGTAATGTCACATCTTCATTTAGTTGTCTTGTACCAGCAATTTCTTTTATATCATAAAGTTCACAAGCATTTAAACAACTATAAATATCATAATAATAAGTGAAGTTTCCAAAAATATCTACACTTCTGGATTTTGACGTATTGTCCCCACTCTTACTGCATTTCTTTTCCGATTTTACTATAAGGTTTTTTTGCCCTATTTGGTCTACTTTAATCATACATTAATATTATGGGAGTGTTCTCTCTGTACACGGTTCGTAGAAAATACGGTGGTATCGTCCGGTTGCTAAGGACGGGAGTGACGTCACAGAATGAAAAATCGAGGTGATAAAATATTCTGCTGCAATTGAAATATTAAGAAATATTATTGTGTGAATGGTTTTAATAATTTTTGTTTTTAAAAATTGTGTTTGCAAAATGTTTAAAATAAACTACTCACACAATAATATATCTTTTTGTAATTAAAAAAAGTGAGTTATTTGAAATTTTATAAAAATTATTACATGATTTTTTCTTGCTATTTTGTAGCTCGTCTTTCAAAAAATCAAACTATCGATAATATAAACTCTAACAATAGAAAATAGTCTAAAAATAAAAATGTGAATACCTCCATTAAAAAAAAACTGTATGAACCCAAGTAGAATATTTTCTGTTAACTCGCTTTTTCATTCGGTGACGTCATTTCGTCCTTGGCAACGGGGATGAGGCTACCGTAGTGTCTTCGAAACGTGTTCTCTGTATACCTAATTAGACATTCCAACGACCTGAAATACAATAGTTGCCATTTGGAAGGGCTCGAATATCCAAGGGGGTTACGACAAAGCCTTCCATTTTGAACACTATTTCAAATTAAAATCACCAAGCCTGTCAATTTATGAAAAATCTATAAGCAATTTTTTTAAATAATATTGTTACACTGGTGTTTGGTTTAGTTCAACTCAACTATAGAACTATTAACATGAACGAATGACTTTTCTAGACATTTCTAGACTCTCTTCTTTTACCCGTATTTTTACTTATGACCACCGCAGCACACTGTATGGTGATTGGTAACTTTGCACTTCTGTTTTTAGTCGTACGTTTCTTATAACAGCCCCAAGTTACTGAAGGGTGCAGGGTAACAATATTTTTATTGTGTTCGACATTAATTTTAATTGAATTTAATCCATTATTTATGATTTCACGTGTGGTGCTAAATAGCATACGTCGTATGTCGCAGCCCATTAGATATGCAACCCTTCCCATCGACAGTTCTTCTGTTTGGAATGCCTAATTATTATAAATTAAATAATTAAAAGTAGTTATGTATTTACATAATAAATATTAAGAATAGAATTCTTTGTTTAATTAATTTTTAATAGTGTATGAATTACTTTGTTTTTGATTTTTACAAAAATAGTTTCGTTTTTTAAATATAAAATATTTTTATAATAAATACTTACATGCAATGACAGTAATCACTGTTACTGAAGTTATAAAAAACACAGTTTGCCCTAAAATAAAATGTGTTTTAAAATTTTTTGTAGTTTATTCAACAAATTAGTATGTATCGAAATAGATACAATAAGGACCAAAAGTCTGTCGCCCCCTTTAACTGTGGATTGGTTAAAACCGCGTAATTTGGGATGTTTATATTAGAATAAAATTATTATTTTTATTATACGAAAATTCAAATTCAATTCTTATATGCGAGATGTAACACAATATTAAATAAAATTGATTGTTAAATATATGACTAGACCATGATCCGTGCGTAACAACACCTAGTTGAAGAGAGAAGGATAATAAAGAGTTTACACTAAAGTTGAAATGGTAAAGACAAATCACTACCTAGATCCATACTGCCGTCATAAACCAACTCCCCCATAACTAAAAAATTACAAATATTTGAGGTTGTCCGACAATTCTGATACTAATGCTTTTATTCGTAAAAAGTAAGCCAAATTCTGGTAATATTTCTTCTTTATCCTAAAACGTTAATATAATTTTTCACCGTAACTAACTTTATAAAACATTCTTGGCAAAACCTTTTAATCCACAAGCCAAAACAAAAAATTAAATCAAACTTATTTTTAACTGGTTAAAAGCATTATCAAAAAATTGTCATTAATTCAACAGAAGCAGGAAGCAGCTATATTGATATTACCGATCAAAATGCTAAAACTAATAATTTTCTTTCGTTGCAAATATCTCTATTCCATAGCTTGCGTAGTTACTGGGGTTTTGTTTATGACAGCAGCATACTAGACAGCAACAGAGTAAAGTAAAGTCACTTATTTCGCCTTTTACGAAACAGCTATGGTAGGCTGAATTGCCTATTCTACGACCAGGCAGCATATTTACACATCCTCCTATATGACGGCACCGGAGTGCTGAAATCTGTTCGCCTTTGTAACCTACAAGTACGCTACAAAAGCTCATTGATTTAGGCACCAATGCATGAGACCTCTCTTATTGCTGGAATCAGTAAGCAAGCTTATCTGCATTCTATGAAACAATGGCTGTACTTAAACTGTCGTTAAACGGTCGTGTACTAAAATGCCGTTAATAGACATGATGTCATTCAAATGACGCATTTGAAGTGTTTTGGGATTAAAAAAAAAAAGAAAATATACAAGAAGAAAACGAAGCAACGACTTCTCGTAGGGTGGCGGCTTCGCCGCCACCAAAAAATTTTAACCCATGCCTGGCTACGCCTACCGGCCTAGACGCCAACGGCCTAGACACAGCTAAAATTGAAAAGTAAAGTCTCACATAACATAAAATTTGTATGGGTGTCTAAATCAATGAGCTTTTGTAGCGTACTTGTAGGCTACAAAGGCGAACAGGTTTCAGCACTCCGGTGCCGTCCTATAGGAGGATGTGTAAATAGGCCACCAGGCAACCGCAGTGAATATGATGATTAGGATGGTAAAGGTAGGGGGGGGTTGAGCTCCAGAATCAATAACGACGTTACAGTACCCAACACGACCAGGCAACCGCAGTGAATATGATGATTAGGATGGTAAAGGTAGGGGGGGGTTGAGCTCCAGAATCAATAACGACGTTACAGTACCCAACACACATGTAGAATAAGAGAGAGAGAGAGAGGGGGAAAAAAGAAAGGGTAAGAGAGAGAGAGAGAGAGAGAGAGAAGTCCATGAGTTTAGTTTTAATAGCAGGCACTATAAAGTGTCAAGTGAGAAAAAAAATCAAATAAGTTACAAATAAAAAGAAATCAATTAATTTAATGAGAGAAAGACAAATAAGGTAAATTTGGTGTACGGCATTTATGCATTAAATAACATTTTTTGACAATAAAAAATTATTTTTTTTTTGTATCTCAAAAGTTTAGACGTTTAGGACATACATTCATAAGAAGTTTTTTTCTTAAAATGGGTCCAAGAATCTCCCCCTTAAATATTAGCATGTTATTAAGAAACACCCTGTATAATTACATTAGAATAAAATTTCTAAAACCCTTTATTATTTTTTCAACAGTTTTAAGCTACACCATTAACGCGAAATGAAAGAAAGTGAAGTGAAAAAATCGGTTTAGATCCGAAAGCTAGATGCAAATTAGGAAATTCTAAAAATGAAAATCGACGAGAATCTAAATCTGATTGACTTCAAATTTACGAATTCGAACATCAAAGTTTATGTGCTGCGATGGCCCAATTGGTACACGGGCACGCATTTCTTCTTTCTTAAATTCTCAGTTTTATCAATTTTTCTTTGTTTTTTTCTGTTTTTACTTTGGGAATATGAGGGTATAATTTTCATAACTTTTTATTTTTAGAATTTCCGAATCATTTAATTTTCGGATCTAAACCGATTTTCTCAGTTCACTTTCTTTCAAAAATGAGATGTTTCTATAAATTATTAAGAATATGAAATAATGCCTAGTTGATAAGAAACACAACATAAAAGTGTTTTGTAATGATAATAAACATCAAAAATCCGTTTATGTTTCTTTTTAACTGAGAATGCGATACACAGGGCGGGGAACCATACACGACGTGATCTTTGGTAACGATAATAATTGCCAACAATTTTTAGTTTATGTTAACATCAAACTTATTGAAAATAACCATGAGAAATTGTTCATTATAAACATAAGCCAACTAGGAGTCAAAAATGTGCTCAACAGATCATAAATATAAATGGATATGTATTAAAAGCCAGGGCTAGTAATGTGAAGATCTACGTGGTTTAGACTAAGAAACGCCAAATGTTTTCGGTCTCTCATGCAACATGTTTTCCAATGGAGCCTCAGTCTCGATGGGGTGGAAATTACAAGTGTCTGGAATTTTAATTTATTCGATTAAACGTTGAAATATTGCTAGTAGTACGAAAAATAATAAAAGCATCTCAGTTTTAAAGTGTGTTTCAAGGTCTTGAACAGTAAATTACAATTTTCGACTAATAAATTAACCTTACCAGCCAGCTGTGTGAAGCTGCGCCTCCAAATTTTAAAAAATTTAGTTTAACATGGAGAGCGGTTGACTCGCTCTATTGACCATGTAGTGACTACCCAGTAACTTTTTTTGTCAATTCTCAGAAACATAAATATTTAAAAAATTAAAGGCCGATGCTCGCTGGCTTTCCGAAGTTTATATTTTTCAAAACTGCATGCACCAAGGAATGATCAATTATTGACCATATTTATTTGACCACCCATTAGAATATTATTAACCATCCCACAAAATAATTTTAAGGGACAAATTATAAAAAAACGAGAGTTCTAGGACGAGCTTCAACTTTGAAAAATGATCAATCGTCAGGAAGGAACAATTAAAATGGGTCGATGTTTGAACGTCTTCTAAAATAATTTAAAAGGTACCAGAGGGGGTCAAAATTCGAAGAAACAATTGTGTGGATTCAAGTAAAACATCTTAAGATAATAGAAGGTAGTTAAGCAGTTTTGCCAGATTATCCAACAGCGAAATTTGACATAAGCTTAATTGTTTTAGTATTTTATTATTTAAGAAGGCGTCTTGAGACTTGAAGCCGTTATACTCAAAGAAAGTGTAGGTAGTTAGCTCTTATATACTGAATTTAACTCAATCTGACCAAAGTTAACTGAAGGAGTTCAACTATTAGACCATAGAATATTCTTATTTACTTTCAACTTAGAAAAATGGCCAAGCGACATAAGGATACAATGAAGGTGAATGGTTTCGAATTATATATTTTGACGTTTTACAATCCCCTTAAATAATTTTAATGAGCCCAAATGGTGATAATTCAAAAATGCAATTTCCAAATAAAATTTTATCTTGGAAAATATGGTCAATCAACATAACGTGGGCCTAAGTTGCAAAAAATATAAATTTTACAGGTGTCTGACCTCAGATCAAACTTAAACAAAATAATATTTTTTTTTTAAATATTAATAATTATTTTTAATACTTGTTGTGCAAATGGAGCTGAAGAAGATATTTTATGAAATAAATTTAAGTTTTGTTAAATGTTAGGAGCTAGGCAAAATTATGTATCTAAATGTTAGGCAAGTTTATTCAGGTAAAAAATAATACATAAATCCTTAAAATTATACAAAACAATTAAAAATTTTTTTTTACCTCAGGGACTAAACCATGCATTTTACTCTCTCATTTTAGGAACTAAAAAGTTTAGTCCCAAGGGATTAAAAAATTTTAGTCCCGCAAATAACAAAACCAATAGAAACCATAGCAAACTACTTTATTCGGGAGGTAATATAACAAGACCTCTCTTATCAGCGAATTTATTTTAAATACATTTTATTTTGTATGTGATGTAAAGGTTTTCACTTCTGTCGTGCGGTCTTAAGTTCACACTTTTTTTTAATTATAACACGTTTACGTAAGTCCCACATTTATTAAAATTCTGCAATAATCTTAGTATGTCAGTTAGGCACATCGGCAGAACGCCTGCCTTGTAAGCAGAGGACACAGGTTCAAATCCCCGACAGGTTAGTTTTTAATTTTTCTTTTTTTTAAAACCTTTTCATAATCATTGAGTAATCGATTAAATAATCGTTTTGAGAAAATATTGAGTGTTTCTTTTCACATAGTTATCGTGTAAATTTCTAAGTTTTAGTCCCTGCGGTACAAAAAATAGCGTATTTACAGGGTTATTCATTACAAATTACCCACCCCTTAGCATCGTTATTATTACCTATAGAAAAAAAAGTTTTAAATAAAAGTTGTGTGGTTATTACTAAATTTCGTTAAAATGCTATCAAAAATACAGTAGCGTGTAGATTTTAGGGGATACGCAAAAATAATTTTTTTTTATTAATTAGATACCCTGTATATTATTTATTTTTTGGAATGATCCTTTCTTTCTGATTTTAAAAATATATGTGTTACCCCCACTGTATGCCGTTTTTTAGGTAATAAACGTCAAGTATCTTAGTTAAACTTACTGTTATGTGAGCCATTTCATTATTCAGTCATGCTCTAACCCTACAAGTCCCTCTCTGTCTTATTTGGCCATTTACGATTATTATACATAATTAAACCCCTTAAGA